ACCTCTCACCCACACAGGGACATCGAGAGCACGGGAGCGCCGTCCGCCCCGGGCCGGGCCGCTCTGAGGGCAGGCGGTCGCCGCGCGGCGGGAGGGGCACGCGGCCGGCGGGAGCGGGTAGGAGTCGGTGGCGGCGAGCCCCGGTACCTGCGTTCCGGCGCGTTCGGGCGCGTCCCGCGGGGCCCGGGGCGAGGCCCGGGGGGGCGGGGGAAGGGGGCGGCGGCGGATGGCGGGAACCGGCCACAGCAGCGCGAGACGGCGCGCAACGCGCGCCCGCTCACGTCAGCGCGGCAGCGCCTTCCCGGCGCGCCCCGCGCGCGCCCGCTTCGCGCGCAGGCCCGGCCCCGCCCGGCCCCGTCCCGGCGTCCCCCGCGCGGCGGGTGAGAGGTCGCGGCGGCGCCGAGTCCATGGCGGCGGCCGTGACGGCGGCTTGAGGCGGCACCGGTTCCCTTCCCACCCTCCGACCATGCACAGCCTGGCCACGGCCGCGGTGAGCGTGCGGCTCCGCTCTCCGCCGGGCGGCGCTGAGGAGGCGCTGGGGATGGGGCCCCGTTGCGCGGGCCGTGCGGGGAGCGGGAGCGCGGCCGCTGGTGGCTGCGGGGGGAAGCTGAGGCCGCGGAGTGGCGGGGCCCCCGCGAGCTCCGTCCCCTCGGCATCACCGGCGGGGGCCGTTTGGCAGCTGCCCAACTCCGGCTGCTCCCGTGGGGCTGCTCCGCGCCGGCGGTGCCGGCTCTGCTGTGGCCTGGTTCGTCCGGGGCACGGAGAGTTTCCCTGCTGGGCGGCCCGGCTCTGCCCTTTGTGTATCACATAGGGCTTCTCCTCTTTCCCTTTGTCTGCCGTGCTCCCTCCCTGCGCCTGGATGCCTCCTGTAGCGAATCAGTGTTTTAAGGTCCCTTTAAGAACCACTAGCAAAAGTATCGGTAAAATCTGGTTTAATACAAAAGCAGGACAAAATTCGTTGATAAGGTTTGCTCTGCTACTTAAAAAGCACATAGAGGAAAAGCAAGTAAAAGTCTAAAATTAATTAATCTACAACCAAAATAAATCCAAAACATTATCCACGGAGTGTGTGGAGGAGGAAGAGCAGGGAAGAAAAGGATGCAGATAGGAAAGGGTGGGATAAGAAAAGGTAAAGAAGATCCTCCCGCTGAGGCACAAGGTTCAGAGTAGATCTTCTTTAAGAGACCTTAAAACACTCATCTGCTGTGCCTCCGGGTGCCAGCCACCTCCTCTGCCCTTTGGGGAGCTGTTTTACTGCTGGCCTTGACTGCAGAGGGAAATAGTAGATAGTGAAAAGCCCCTCAGGGCAGCAGATACTGCCTGTTCCTACTTCCCTTTTGCCTCATTTCAGTGCAGTACCATCCATAGCTGGTGCTTGCCCTCATCCCCCTCAGGAAGCTGCAAAGATTGGCTATGGATTCTCCAAGAAGGAGAAAAGGTGTTTCAAGATTTTTCCTGGTTTAATACTGCTGGTAGTTTTCGCTTTCCTTGTGTGCAAAACAAAGTCTGCCTGGCAGGGTTCTGTCCTGGAGCTTGCAGGATTTGTGTGGCTCTCAGGGTTCCCCAGAATTTTGGGTCTTAGAGGGAGAAGAAGAAACAGTAATGAAATAGGGAATTAGGAAAAAAATACAGCTTTCCATTTAAACTAAAACAAAAGGAGCAACTGTAGAGCCTATGAAAAGCAGTTTATTCTGACTAACGCAGATATTGGACATCATAAGCTTAATTGTGTGGAAAATCTACTTAGTGTTCTCTAGGGATCACAAGTGCATGGCTGTGCTTTTAAGGGGTCGATGTATTTAAGCTTACAGGAACTGAAACTAGTGGGTCTAGAAAAATAGATGGAAGGTTTAGATTACATAATTATAACAACATTATTGCTACACTGCTTGTCAATCCACCATCCCACATAAAAACAAATGAGCTCTGTTCATTCTCCTTCTCTTTTTGAGCTTCAGTATAGAAGTTAGCATTACAATTGCACTCACAGTTGTAGGGGCACAAGAAATTTGGCAGGATCACTAATATATTTAGAGATTTTAGGGAAAAAATTACAAATTGAGTAGGTGAGTGTCCTGGTTCTGGCCAGAACAGAGTTAATTTTTGCAGTAGACCTGAGGGAGCATAGCTAGGCCCCAGAGATTATTCTGTACCACCTCACATCAGTTTTCAGGGAGGGAGAAAGAGCTTGATTTGGGTTTAGGCTGGTGTGACCCAGGAAGCAGTTGGATATTGCTGGGGGGAGGGTTCTGTGGGATGAGCAATAACTTCTCTTTTCTTGTACCCTCTGTCTCTAATGTTAGTTATTTTTTTTTATCTCATTGCTGTTTCCAGTTCCTATCTCAACCTGTGGTCTTTACCTTTTGTACCTCCAGTTCCCCTTTCCATCTTGGAGCAGGGGGACTGAGAGGGGAAGGAGGGAGGGAGTGGGTGACAAATGGTTTGGAGTGGTTTCAGTGGGAGTACTAAATTGGAGAATACCATCCCTAAACCATGGCAGTGAGAAAAAAGAGGATAGGAGGATATATGAACAGCTAAAAAAGTATTTGAGCCCTAGAGTACAGGGACTGATAACACTACATTGGCTTAAGTATGAACAATTAAGTTAAATACAATGGAAGTGGTTGGAGGAGAGAGAAATGCCACAGCTGGGGAAGAATCTCTTTGGACGTGACTATAAAATGGGATAAACAGAGGAGGGAAATTTTCGCAGACATAGAGGAGGAAAGCTGTTGGTGTCTGCCAAAGGTTTAGAAGTCTCTGTCCATCACTCCTGCATCCCTTCTGGGACTGCCTCTGCCATGTGGCTTCAGGTCTCATTGAGCCACTTGCAGTTCCTGATCTCCCCTGTATTCTCCTGTGTGGTGTCTTGGTGGTGAGCTGCTTGGTGACAGCGTTGCTGTCAGTGCGGTGTGGGCTCTGCTTGCATCTGTTGTGGGGAGCACATGGAAAGTTTCAGTTTGGGTTAAAAAAGAAAGAAATACAGTCCTGTTTCCAGCTGGGATCACCGTGCAGAGTGGGATGCAGGGCTGGTTGCATGCTGGTTGGGCTGGCTCAGGAGCAACAGGGCTGTGCTTGGCTTCAATAACAACCACTACGGCAGTGTTTGAAAAGGTTCTGACCTGGCTTTTGGAAGTGTTCACACAGGAGGTTTTAGTGATAGTTTTTGTCTTCCTCAAAATTTTGTATCTAAGTCACCAGACTATCTCCTTAGGAAGCCTGCAGAGCATTTGTTTGCACCAAATGTTGCTTATGCCAGCAGAGACCGGAGACAAAGTTTCAATGAAAGACTCCTGCCTTGCCTTTTCCACAGAAATTATGATGCAGTCCCTCTTTTCTCTCTTCTTCCTCATTTTTTTTGTATTGAGAACTTGTTGGTCTTGATATTGTCCTTTCCCTGATGTCTCAAGAGAGGCAGAAGCAAAATCTGGATTTCTCCCAAGTAGTAGAAAATGTGTTTTGGCTAGGAATACAGATCTACCCTTCTCTGGGCTTATTTTGAACAGGAATCAAATCATCCTGGGATCTTGTACAAAGTTGTTGTTGAAAAATTCCCTTTTAGCTCCATGCATGTGGACAATATGCCTGGTATAAATTCGAGCCATTGGTAACAGTAGCTGTTCCTGGCTGTGGCTGGTGTCATGCTGATGGTGAAGTAGTGAAATTTTTTCTAGTATTTCTATGAAGATTTTTCTCATGTGCACTAAGTGAATCTCATTGGCAGTTTCCAATGTCACGGGTGTTTGTGGAGAGAAAAAGGTAACCTCTGCCTTACTCTGAACCTGTGGAATCTTGCACTTGAAGCATGAAATAAATGCATGCTAAATGCGAGTGGAGCAAATGAAAGCTGGCTGAAGTATGTGTCACTCCCCAGGAGCTCTGCTGGCAGAGATGGGCAGTAGCTTGGCTCTCACTGCTGAATGAAGTTACAAAGGTTGTGCTTGACAAGAGGATTAAAAGAGACTGTCTTAACAAGTCAGTCCAGGAAATAAAGCCTTAGAATTTCAAATAGGTGAAATACTAAAACTGATCTAAGGAAGGGATGGATCCATAGCCAGAACATCTTAATAGAGCTTTAGGTCCCGCCCTCTCAGTCGGGTGTTTCTTTTTCTGTCAGATTGTAGGAATGGTTTGGGTGAGAACTGGATAAAATATTTGGACTGAAGCTTTCCTGTCTCCCTCCCAGCCTGTGCCAACAGCACTGGCTCAGGTTGACCGTGAAAAGATCTACCAATGGATCAATGAGCTGTCCAGCCCCGAGACACGGGAGAATGCACTGCTGGAGCTGAGCAAGAAGCGCGAGTCTGTGCCTGACCTCGCCCCAATGCTGTGGCACTCATTTGGCACAATTGCAGCACTCCTTCAGGTGGGTCAGGCTGTCTGTGTCTTTATTCCATGGTGCAGCATCAGCATGTTGCAGAGCTTGTGCATCCATGAGGTGGATCTGGGGAGGAACTGGTGGGATCCCTTATTGCCGTTGCTTGGGAATATGATCTTTGTTGGATCATGTGGTGAGTGGAGCAGATTAAGGTTAGAATGCACTCCTGTGACTCCATGTCAAATTGACTCTGACCCAGCTCTGCCCTTGCCTGGGCAGCAAGGTGGCTGCCGTGTAACTTGAAAGTGATGCTTGGTGGGAGCAGACTGTTATCTGCTGTCACTGCACTTCCTTACCAGGCAAGTGCTTTGGTGTAGTTTTCTGATGTTTGTCTCCTTTAACTTTCTGCTCTCTGTTAATTTTTAGGAAATTGTAAATATTTACCCATCAATCAACCCTCCGACTTTGACAGCCCATCAGTCCAACAGAGTCTGCAATGCTTTAGCTCTACTACAGTGTGTTGCATCACACCCTGAAACGAGGTAAGTGCTTCCAAGTTGTGTGAGTTTTCTGAGGTGTTGATATTGACACCTCAGCACATATCTTTGACTTTAAAAGCACTTTAGCTCCTTTCTCTTTTTTCACTTGAGAAAAGTGAAACAGACAACAGAGCTGATAGATAGGCAGCTGCCTGCTGCTTTTTATTTGCTTGCATGGATTATCAGGATGACAGCTTTATGGTCCTAAATGCATTGCATTCCCTGGGTCATCCCGAGATCTTTCAAATGCTCAAAACATTGGGTTGTGGCAGCTTCTGAGAGGTCAGCCAGAGCTGAGGCTACCTTTCTGTTGAGTGCTGTGTGCAAGGATCCTTGAGCTTATAATTTAGACAAGAAGCTTGGTTAGAGCACGGTGTTAATAATGCCAAGGTTGTGGCTTCTATCCCCATATGGACCATTCACTTAAGAGCTGGACTCCACAACCCTTGTGGGTCTCTTCCAACTCAGAATATTCTGTGAAATCAAAGAAACTCCTTAAATTTCAGCTTACAGATTTTTAAACCAGGTGTTGAAAGGGTGGAATGAACAGGACTGTTCTTGCCAGGCAAGTGTGAGGCAAGGGAGCCATAGCAGAACCATTTTTGGAGTCCTCAGCCAGAGTCTGACTTCATATTTTCTCAATCTGTACCCAGTCCATGTCAGTAGGGAAAAACAAGATGTTGGTTCAGCCAAAATCAGTAGTTAAAACTCAGGAGGAAACTACCCAGAGATCCACAATCTCATGCTTCTGTTACTGCTGAGCAGCAGCATAGCTGAAGTTGGTTTTGAGCTGCTGCAGAGCAGTGTTAAACAGCAATCCTCCATGAGATGATATCCAAAGAAATAGGATAGCTTTTGATGACTCATCTTTACAGTTAAAGATTGAAAACTGAAATGGAGGAGTATTTTGGATGATTGTGTAAGAGAGCTTCCCTCTGTTAGCAGAGCAACCTCCAGCATTCCACCTGCAGTCTTTATTTTTCATTACTGCCAGAAGGCAGTGTGAGGACTCTGGGGGAAAGGTGTTGGTGCACATTTAAACTCTGATGATACCTAAAGCTCAGCCAGTCTGTACTTCTTAGAGGTACTTTTCACAGGCATTGTGGCTGATGATCCTTGCCATTGGGAACCTGCAGGGTGAAATGCAGCAGTGAGTGTACAAAACAGGGTCTGGGTGGCAGGAGGAGGTAATAAGAACAATATGGTGTGCTCAGTTCCTGGTCAGCTGAGGCAGGAGTGCAGGTAATTGACAGATCAGGTGTTAGGTTTTGTGCTGTGCCCAGTGCAGGATTTGCTTTGTGCCTTTCCATCAGTGAATTTACTGTTACCCACTTTTGAGGAGCTGTAGCAATGGGGTCCACCGGGAATAGTGTGAAGCTCTAGGTGGTGATGCTAGATTGTGCGCTCACTTTGTTTTCCTTGTTGTTCACATGGTGTGTTCTCTCTTTCCTACAGATCAGCTTTTCTGGCAGCTCATATTCCTCTCTTCCTGTACCCCTTCCTGCACACAGTCAGCAAGACCCGTCCATTCGAGTACCTGCGGCTCACAAGCCTCGGAGTCATTGGTAAGCAGCCAGACTAATGCTGGAGGACTGAGTTAGAGCAGTTCATGCTGTGGGCATAGAGACCTGCATGACCAAAGTCAGAGGTCTCTTGTTACTGGGATTTTCCAAATCCTGTAGTATTAAGAGAAGGAACTACTCCTTTTCCATTGTGGAGGTAGACTCCTCTTCCTTTTCACTTACAAAAGACTTATAAAAAACCCACTGAAATCTAAATGCATTGCCAAAAATACTTTTTGAGTACAAGTACCTGCAGACTTGTACCTTCACCCTCAGCCCTCCCAGCTAGGCATTGGGATGGGTGGGTGCAGGCTGGTCTTTATTTGGGTTTCTGTCATTGATTCACTTGGGTATATTTTCCCTGTCTTCCCTTTATCCTGTGGTTTTTTTTTCTTTCTTCTTCCTGCCCAAATAATTTTATCTCTCAATACATAAAGAATCTCAAAATGCCTTAAAATGCATTTCTTCGTCCCAGAAGTTGCTGTGGGTGCCATGATCCTCTTGTGTTTGTATTACTACTGAGAGAGAGCCAAGAATGCATCCTCTTTCTGAAAAATAATCCCCAAACCCATTACTTTTACCCTGCCAAAATGATTTCTTCTCCAGCCATGTGCAGCAACGTGTCTAGGATGACAGTTGCTCTGCCTGGCTTTCGGACAGAATGGTTTCTGGGGAGGGCAGAGCACAGGCCCTCTTTGAAAGGTGAGATTTTTTTGAAACAGTTTATCATTTACTGATTTTGGGTTTTGCTTTTACTTCAAGGGGCCTTGGTGAAAACTGACGAGCAAGAAGTGATAAATTTCTTATTGACAACAGAAATTATCCCCCTGTGCTTACGTATTATGGAGTCGGGAAGTGAGCTCTCCAAAACGGTACCTTCTTTTTTTGTTTTAATAAAGACACTTTGTTGTTCATCTCTGATTGACCAGGTAGCCAGTGCCCTGCAGAGCTGATTTCTCTGCTGTTGCAAATGCTGGGACAAGTCTGAGTGGAGTTTTTACCTCCTCAAAAAACCAAACAGACCAAGACCTGAGGCTGCCTGAGTGGCTTGGCAGTAGCTGGCATCTTATGCAACCTGAATCCAGTCATCTTGTACACTCTGCTTTGTGTCCATCTCTTTTCTTTAGTCAGAGATACCAGGCATTGTGTACTGTCCTGCATTTTCTTTTGGCTTCTAACTTTCACTGAGTAAAGCATTTTCTACCTGCTAGAAGGCTTTTCAACTCTGGGGCTGAGTTGAAAAGAGCACCACACAAAGGCTGTCCTTTTTCAGGGTAGATAAGTTGTTTATATGATTTGGTTTCTGCTTTCTCCCCATTCTAGGTTGCTACATTTATTCTTCAGAAAATCCTCCTGGATGACACAGGGCTGGCATATATCTGTCAGACTTATGAGCGGTTTTCCCATGTTGCCATGATACTGGTAAGATTATTTGTTTTTAAAGTATTTATATCTAAAAAAGAAAAAAATTATGCTATAGCAGTCAGCTTCTTCAGCCAACTATTTTACTGCTGTCTTGCTGGAGGATGAGGAAGGCAAATCATTCTTAGGCTAATGGCTTGTGATACTGTAGCTCTGCTTCCATGTTTCCTTTGTATACTTCTGGTTTCCATGTCAAGAGAACACATATTAGTTGTGATATACGAAGTCCCCAAGACAAAAACAGGTAAACCACTTCAGAGAAGAAAAAGATTTTCCAGAGTTGTGGGTGTTTCCAGTTGTTGGTGGGATGTGAATGGATTAGATTTAATGTAATAATGATCACACAGATCATGGATCTATGTCCCTTCCCTTTCTCTCACAACATGTTGAAAGAGCAGGGCAAGTATATATCATCCTTGTCCTCATAACAGTCCCACAGCTGACAGCTGTGGATTTCTGGGGCCACTTGTGGGGTTTCTGTGTAGTGAGCCCCAGTGTTTGTCCCATCCACCCCTTGAACCCATAGGAACTCTTTGCACCCACAGTGTCTTTGACCAAGGAGTTTCATGGGTTTTCTGTTTGCTGCCTGGAATGCCACCCTCATTTTTTTCCTTTCTGAATCTGACTCCTACTAGCTGCTGCAGGTGCTCAAATTTTTGTGTTCGAATACAGAGAGTAAACAAGTTCTGTCCATTCTGTGATCCCTGTAATGGACAAGTTTGGGTACTCAAAATTTGTTCATCCCAGGAGTAATAGCCCCAACTTGAGCTTTATCTTTGAGCTTGCCAAGGGGAATATAAATCTACCCTGGAATAGTTATTGCCATGCTTTTGTGTGTGTTTGTTTGCTTTTAAAAGGGTGGTCTCAGGAGAAGAAAATGCAGCATTAAGTTAGGCACTTAGCAATGCTGGTTCTCTGACTAAATGTTAATATTTTCATTAGGGATATTTACTTGTCTACTTTTGCAAATGTAAAGAAAACATTGCCTCCTATTCACCCACAAACAGCAAAATATGAATGATTTTGAGCTGATGTCCCTAGTATCCAATGTGATGTGATTTTTGCATTCAAGAAGATCAGCTTTGATGAAAGTACATCTGACTTGGGGGCAAAGTGAAGGATGCAATTAGAAACTCTGAGGTAGGGAAGGTGACCATGCTATTCCCAGATGTGAATTCTCCCTTGAACACAGAAGGATGTGGGTGTGTAAAGCTGTGTTAACATGTTTAGTCCCACCATTGGGTGAAGCACTGGCAAGCAGGGTCAATATTCCATAGTGCAAGAGAGAAAGATGAAAATGTTAACAGACTTTTTCGTTGTCTGTTTCAAAAATAAGGGTAGTGTACTCCTGTCTAATGAGGGTGATGATTTACTTCCATGTCTTGATAACTGAGTAAGATGTCACACAAGTATTACATGCTTTTAAAAGAGCAAGTTTGTATTTTCCATCCAGGAACTCTCTGAGGAGCTTGTGGTTATTTATTTTGAAGAAATAATTGGTATCCTAGGGAATTGCTAAGAACAGTAAGCTTGCAAAAGGGCAGATGAGGGGGACCTGCTAATTGCTAACGACCAGGATATCAAAATACAGGTGAATTTGGCTAATGGAGAAAATGGTTAGTGCTAGCCAATGTAGTTTACAGGAAAAAAATAAACCTGTTGAGCAGATGTGATTGACTCCTAAATACAAGCCAGCAGTCTGTTAAATTCTTCAGAGCAGGTGTGTGAAGGCATCCACACTGTTTGCTCAGCTGAGCACGTTCAAAGGTGCAGCCATGTGCAAAGTCCTATTTCCTGTGGGAAACAGACTGGGCCAGGAAGATCTGTCTGTGCCTTGCTTCCCTGGAACAGCTTCACGAGGGATGTAGCAGAAAGAAAAAATACATTGCTTGGATGCATGCTAAGACTGGATAAGGATCTTGCTGCATGTGGTGTGGGTGAAGCAAGTCCTATGGCCTGGCTTTCCAGGATATTGCTATTGTCTTAAAAGCATGTTGAAATGAAGGGAATTCATATGAGAACAGGGGGTGTTGCAGAGCTTGGGAACACACCTCATGGTGTCACTCAGCCTGAGTTTATCAAAGTGTTTGAAATGTGTCTGTCTTCCATGAGGGGGAAACCCCAGGTTCTCTTTAATCCCACAAAGAGTTGCTAAGTAGTCCTAGGAAAGTAAAAATTAAACAGAAATAAGATGAGCTTTCCCCGAGCTTCTGGGAGAACCCTTTCCAAGTCATGGCAAGCTGCTATTCTCAAAGGCAACTTGGCAAGCGGCACCAGGCTCCGTGCAAGGGTATCTAGATAAAAGGTAATGGGCTGTGCTGTGTGGGAAGCCAGAGTGAATGATTTAATGATCTTTCCCAGTCTCTGGTGATTGTGAAGCTGTTCTTTTAAAGACACTAACTGGTGGCATTGGCCCCTGTCAAACAGGGTAAAATGGTCCTGCAGCTCTCCAAGGAGCCATCGGCACGGCTGCTGAAACATGTTGTCCGCTGCTATCTTCGCCTTTCTGATAACCCCAGGTAAACATTTTATGAGTTTGGGCAGGGGCTTCTCCTGTGCCCTTGGAAGCGCAGTTCTTCAGTTCTCCACAGTGCCCATCTGGGAGGAATCAAGGTTCCTGGTCTGTCAGCCTTAGCTCAGTGTGGAAGATGGGTGGGGTTTTTGCTTTGATTTTTTTTCTGACAGTCACAGGAGCTTCTATGGTACATGGGAGAAACAGTGACTGTTGGGGATTGTGCAAATTCTGGCTGTGCAGGTTACTACTGCCTGAGCCCAAATGTAGCTTGAACAAGATACAAAGAAGGGCTGAGGTGGAAGGTACACTATACTCTCCCTCTTCTTCATCAGACAGGCTGTTAGCAGTAGATGAAATTCATAAATCACAAAACTAGTCTTCTGCTGACCAGTAGCTGTGCCCAAAACTGCTGGGTGTGTATTTGTTGCCTGAGTCTCTCCTGGCATCGCATTACTTTTTTGCTGTGTGTTGGGGTGCAGGTGCTGCTTGGCTGGGTTAGTGTGAGGGGTGGGAGCTGTGCTGGCTGGCTGGCTGAGTGCCACCTGCTGTGGTGCTGCTGCTCAGTGCTTTCCTTGGCTGGCTGTGGCAGGGACACCTCCAGACAACGCTGTGTCCCCAGTGGGGTTTGCTCCCCTCTTGCCCCTGTGAGTTTATTTGTTGGGCCCCGTTTTTTGTCTCTTGATGTAGGGCACGTGAAGCTCTCAGGCAGTGCCTTCCTGACCAGTTGAAGGACACCACCTTTGCCCAGGTCCTGAAGGATGACACCACCACAAAACGCTGGCTGGCTCAGCTTGTCAAGAACCTGCAAGAGGGTCAAGTCACTGACCCACGGGGCATCCCTCTTCCTCCGCAATGACTGCTGGGGGAGGTGGGGCACTGGGGAAGAAACAGCTCAGGTTTACAAAGAACCAGGAACAGGTGACCTCTTCTGCAACAAACTGGGCACGCCAGCTGGCTGCCAGCCTGTCGGACCACCCCACCCAGCCAAAGGGCTGCTCTGTAGCGGTGCAGCAAGCCTCTGGGGATCCCAACACCAGCAAATGCTGATACTACAGCTTCAAAAAAAAAAATCAATAAAAACAATCTGTATAGATCCCAGTCTCTCCGGGAGGCTTGGGTGGCTTCTCTTCCCCCACCTCCAGGCAGGGGGTAGTGCAGATGTCCACTCTTCCAGCAAACTCAGCCTCCGCCCTAGTGGTGCATGACAGCAGGTATGCGTGCCACATCCCTCCAGTTCCTTGTCACTTCTTGTTTACATGTCTGTTTAGATGAGTGAACTGAATAAAAGCTGATCCAGTTTTATCCCCTCCTAATACTGCTACTCAGCTGCAGGTAGCCCAGGGACAGCTTTTTTCCCTGCCAGCACATCCTTGCTCCTGGCTCTGCATCCATCTGGCGCAGTGAGCTTCTCTCTTCCTTTCCTTTGGTGTGTGGAGGAAGTGGCTGCAGCCAGGCCACTGCAGTGCTTGCCCCAAGAGGAGGGGTGGATAATTGCAATGAACCCATGCGTCGTAAGGTTGCTTGCCAGGGCTCAGGGAAAGAAGACGGCAGGATTGTGCCTCTTGTGCTGTAAATAGTGCACTCTCACAGCTGACCAGCTGCCAGAGGCTGATGTGTGCTGGCCTCTCTAGACCTGGGAAGGCTGCTGACTGGCTTATCACATGGAGCTCAGTGTGAGGGCACCTGCCTTGAGGCAGTGGGCAGACCACCGACTGATCCCCTGCTGCCTGCAGGCTCCAGGTATGCTGCCTTCTGCACCCGCTGCTGGCCGCCAGGCGCCTCAGTCCTGTCCCCTCCCTTCCCCCCCTCCTTGCGCTCCTCTCTGCCAGCCAGGTGCATCCATTTCAGCTTTGAAACCTGCCTTGGCATCCGCCACGGCCCCACTGCAATTAAACTGGACCAGCAGCCACTTACCTGCCGCCTCTGTGCTGAGGGGCTAATGTGGCCGCAGAGGGCTCTCGGAAGCAGTGGAGGAGCTCCCAGGCTATGCGGCATCAAAGCCTGCTCTTGGCTGCAGGCAAGCCTGGGCAGCTACTTAATTTCTCCCCCCTCTTCGAGTAGCCCATTTTGCTGATCATCTGCAGTGTCGTGCCAACAGTGTCTTAAATCCCACCATTTCCCTTCCCTCCTCCTCTCACAGCCTTGCATAACAAGGGCAGAGCATAGCTCTTCCTTGCCCTCGGGTTCCTGTTTTATAACCATTGCCTTTTCCCTCCTTTTCACCCTGACCTTGCCGGGGTGTGAAAATGCTTCTGTTTGGTTGCGGTTTTTTTTTTTTTTAATTTGAATTAATAAATAATAAAACCCCAGCCAGCAGAAGCTGGTCCTGGTCTGGTCTCTCGCGGGGGTGGTGGGGGCAAGCGCTGCGGTGGGGGTTTATTACAGATGGGAGGAAGGGCGGGCTGTGCCGTGTTCGGGATATGAGCTGGAAAGAGTGGCTTTTCCCAGTGGGAGCTGGCAATGTCCCTGTGGCGCGGCGCCGCATCTCTTCTGGGGCAGGTAGCGTGGAGGGGATGCTGCTCTGTTCTGCTTTGCGGGAAGGCAGCGAGCCTGCCAGGGAGAGAGCATTCGCTGCCTCCCTGAAGCGTCTTTGCAAGCGCGGCCGCGCTCCCCAGGCGTCCAGGTGTGTTAGAGCATCGCCCACCCGAAAGTTCAGTCCCTGCCCCGCACCCTTTGCCCCCAGCTCGGCCTGCCCCAAGGCTGCCTCAGCTTGGATCCCCGTGGGTGCAAGCGGGTCCGGGGACAGACAGGCTCAACCGGAGGATAAGAATGGGGGGGCTCGAACCTAAACGAGGGGCGCCACAGGACGCTCCCAACCCTGCCGGCCCCTCCACTGCCTTCTTTACCCGCCCCCCCCGCTCCGCCTCGGGAGTGGCGTGACCTTAATCCGAAGCGACCTTGAGAGGCAGCGGCTGCGGGGCGTGCGGGGGCCGGGGGCGTCCCGCGGGGGCGGGGGGCCGGGGGCCGGGGGAGGGCTCGCAGCCCAGGCACTGCCGAGGGGCGGGCAGCCCCGGCTCCGTGCGGCTGCTGGCGGTGGAGCACCGGCGGAGCGGAACGGAGGGGAACGGCAACGGAAAGCGGGTACGGACCGCGCGTCCTGCGGAGGGGAAGGGGCGACGGCGGGTACGGGGCTGCGACCCCCAGGCTCTGGGACCCTCAGGCTTCGGGACCCCCTCTTTCGGGCTGCGGTGCTCCGGAGCGGCTGCACGGTTGGGGTGGCGCGGGGCAGGTGCCGGCTATTTTGTCTCCTTTGCCATAAGGTGTGACTTCTCACAAAATCCCTTGCGGTTTTCTGCCCCATCCCGGAGTCTCTTGTCTGTTCTCCGCCTCGCCTCCAAGTCCTTCTGCCCCTGTCAGCTACTGGCTTAGCAAAGCTCTAGGACGAGGGCAGTTTGTAAGCACATTGGGGCAGCAAGGTGTGGGGGGTGCCAGAAGGGCGCTGAGAGACATAATCTTTCCTTGTTCTGGCACCGTCACCCGTATGGTGGCATTTTATTCTGCCGGGCGACTCTGCACTGGAACGGCTGGGGACCGCTCACACTCACTGGCTGTCCAGCTCTGCTGGGGCCTGTCACCACCAGGAGAGACGCTGGGATGGCTCAGAGTGTGCTGGGCTAGCTGGGGCTGTTCTGGCAGCAGGCAGTTGCCCTGCGGGAAACTCTCGGGTTGGGTTTCTCCACACCCTGGCTCTCATCCTGCTTGGCTCAACAATGTAATTCAGACCGGGGGGGCATGCAAGGGGGCCTGCGTGGGGCCAGGCTGTGAGGGGCTCATGGCATCCTCAGGAGAGAGCAGAACAGATGTGTCTTGCATCCACATGCTCTTCCTTGTGCTTGCTTGTGTTTCCTTTGGTTGGAAGGAATCATCCCTTCTCTTCTGCATTTGTGGGGAAGGCACTGCTCCGTGGCTGGGACTGGGCATGCTTAGGCTGTGCTGGGAGCCTGGAAGGGCTAGCACTGGGGGAGAAATTTAGCTCCAAACTCTCAGTGTGGTTATGGGCCCTTGGGCTGCAAGCTGCTCCCTACATGCCGCCACCTTGTACACATGCATGGCAGAGTGCCAAGAGGACAGAACTCTTGGTGGCACTGAGCCCATCTTTGTCCCCGTCCAGCATGTCTCCCTGCTTCTCCAGCTCTGGTGCCTCTTCCTCCACTCCAGCTTCTCTAAAACATGCCCATCTCCCTCATCTGCTGTGGCACAGGGGCTGCAGAGCTGGTGATCACCTGGAGCTATGGCCCTGTGAAGTGGCTGTGCCAGGCTGGGTGCTGCTGGAAAGCAGGAGGGTGCAGGCAGATGGGTGACTGGGGTTGCCCCCTTGGTTCCCTGAGGGTCATGGGGTGCAGGGGCTGAGAGCACACTGTGGGGGGTGGATGTGGGGCTACTGGAGCTGTGTTAGCCAGCATCAGGGCACAAGAGGAGCACAGGGCTTACCCCCCATTTTTGGGTATGGGCACTCCAAGTCTTGTGCCAGTGTGTCAGTGCCCTGTGGGTTGGGTGTGGGGGGATATAGGCACTGCAGCAAGTCCTGAGCCTTGCAGGAAGGACCAGTGTTGGGAAAGCACAGCCCCAGCTCTGGGCACTGGGAAGGCATTTCCCAACTACCCCATGTTTCCAGCAACATGTGAGGTCCCCAAGAGTGAACAGATGATCCCTATGTGCCCTGGGGACAGCCAAACAGCCACAGATTGCCCCATAACTAGGGTGTCTCACAAGGGCAAGGCTACAGCCCTGGCCAGTGCTGTTCTGCCCTACTGAGCCACACTGAACAGGGGACGGCTGCTGTCTGGCCTGAGGGCCCACAAGGGTCTGGCAGAGGCTGAGCAGCTGCCTGCATGCTGACGGCACTGGCTATTCCCAGCCCTGCATCACTGGTGCCTGTGCTGAGTCAGGGACCCAGGGCACAGCTGCCACCCCTGCACCCTGGCACAGAGCCCTTTGCTCTCAGGGACCCTTGGTCCCCTCCTGCACCCAAATCCCAGCCCATCAGCTGCTCCTCCAAAGCTAAGCTCCAGCACCTGGGTGACAGGCGCATCCAGTGATTTGTCAGCATCATTAGAGTCTAAACAGCCTAATCAAAGCCTCATTGTCCAGTAGTATTTATAGTCCCACTCACTGCCATGTGCTCCCTGTACAGCTGAGAGTGCAGTCACTGCCTGGGGTGCTGCTGTTCCCTGGGGAGAAGAAGCTGTAGGAGCTGAGGGTCATTGCTCTGTGTTCCCTTCCTTGCTATCACAGCTGTGCCTCTCCTTTACTTTCAAATTTGCTGGTTGGGGTTGTTTCCTAGGTGGTGGAGGGTGTTCTTGGGCACTGCCAGAGCAGTTTTTCCTGGTTTAAGCAGCTGCTTCTTACCTGGGAGCAGCAACCTGGGAACAGCAGGGCTCTGGTACCCACTGGGCTGTGGGGCATCAGCGCTGGCAAGTTTTTCTGTTTTCCACAAACACCTTTTGAGCTCCGGCTTCCCGGTAACACAGATTAATATTTCATGAGTATGGCAGTGTGAACTCGACACTTAAGGAATGCAATGACCCAGCAGGAGACAGACACAGGTGCGCTCATATGTGGGCAGGGGCGCACATACCTCGTGCACGTGTGGGTATGGCTGGAGCCCACTTGGCGGGACCAGGGCACAGCATGAGGGTCTGACCTTGTTCCCCCCAGTCACCTTCTCTCTTCCCTCCCCAGCAGCTGCCAGCGTGGAGAAGGCAAAGCTATGGCATCGCTGCTGTGCAACGCCCGTGAGTGCCCCAGCAGAGGATGGGTGCAGGGCAGGGCATTGGGCCATCTGGATTTATGCCGAGGCAAATCTGGCTTCTGGGATGAGCTCACCTTGCTGCACTCAGAAGCATACCTACCCCACCATGGCCATTGGGATTTTGGCTTGGAAGTGCCAAGGGTGGATGGGAAGGGTTGATGGGGAATTACCCTGTGCACTTCTTGTGGTGAAGGGAGTTTGTTTCTGGTTTATCCCTCCTCCCTCATGGATTGAGGGACCATGTACGATCCCAGAGGCGAGAGGAAGCAAGGTACCAGGACGCAGTGCCTGGGTACCCTCGCCCTCAGTGATGCAGCCCATGCTGCCCCCAGGCATCCAGCTCACAGACACACTGGAGCAGATGCAGCAGGGGACTCTGATGCGCAAAGTCAAGTCCAAGAGCTGGAAGAAGCAGCGTTACTTCAAGCTGCAGGAAGACTGCATGACCATCTGGTACCAGTCCAAGAGGACAGGCAAAACTGAGTCTGCCTGTGAGTACCAGCTGATGTGTGTTGGTCATGAGGCCATCAGTAGGTTTCAGGGTGAACAGGGATGTGAAGGTATGGAAATTCTTGGGCCATGCTTGCTAAGGGTGCTGGGGGATTGAAGAAAGACTCTGTATGCATGTTTGATCTCTTCTCACCCACACCTCTCCATGAAACATCCTGCCCCCAGCAGGACCCATGGGTCGAAAGGGCTGAGTAGAAATTGCAGCTGATACAAATGGAACGTCTAGAATGCCAGTGCAGGAGTAAGCAGACAGAGGGGCAGATGGATGACTGGCTGACTTGATAGCTCAGTGTTTAATGCATAGATAAATAGCTCAGCGGGTGGATGGATGGATGGATGGATGGATTAGAAGAAGGAATGACTGGAAGGATAGATGTCTGTGGGTGGTGCCCCTTGCCCTGTGGTCCTTGTCCCCTACAGACAGGCCTCCCCTCCCTCTGTCCCAGTCTCCATCAGCGATGTGGAGACGGTGCGGGAAGGGCACCAGTCAGAGGTGCTGCAGAGTGTGGCTGAGGAGTTCCCCCCTGAGCGCTGCTTCACCATTGTCTTCTACGGCCGTCGTGGCAACCTGGACCTCGTTGCTGGCTCGGCAGAGGAGGCACAGTGCTGGATACAGGGCCTGCGTCAGCTCATTGAGGTGGCCACCACCATGGACCAAAGGGAGAAGATAGACCAATATCCTTCCTGATAGCATCACTCTGCCCCCCACACCCACTGCTGATCATCCCCCAGGCCCTGCATCTTCAGCCTTACCCCAGCATGTGTGTAGCTGCTCTGCATCTCACCATCTGCATTAGTGCAGGAAAAGGAAAAGGAAAAGATGCCCTCTGATAATACCCAGCCCCATTTCTCATAGCCAAGACCTTTTCCTTAACATTTGCCCTGGCTTTCTGCACATGGATTCGTGACTGGTTCCAGAAAGCTGACAAGAATAAGGATGGGCGCATGAACTTCAAGGAGGTGCAGCGTCTCCTGAAGATGATGAACGTGGACATGAACGAGGATCATGCCCTGAGGCTCTTCCAGGTAAGCACTGCACCTGAGAGTCTGGATGGGTTGGAGGGACTGGAGGGACTGGAACAAGATGTACAAAACCTCATTGCAAACACCCATTTGTTCATTTATTTGTTAACATGCTCTTCCTTCCTCCCATTCATTTGTCCATCTAGCTGCTTATCTACTACACAGCTAACCAGCCATCTGCTTTTTTATCCCTTCCTTCCATCCATCCATCAGTCCACCCAACCAGCCCTCCATCTGCCCATTCATCCATTCCCCCATTGATCAATGCCTGCCACTGGCATGGGGTCTCTGAGCCCTCTGTTTGGGGTGGGAGAATCCCCCCACAGCAGCTTTGGTGGCAAAGACACCCCTTTTTGCCCCATCTGGGCGCTGAGGGAGCTCCCTTGCAAACAGGATGCTGACAAGTCAGAGTCGGGGACACTGGAAGGGGAGGAATTTGTCCTCTTCTACAAGGCTCTCACACAGCGTGAGGAGGTGCTGAGCCTCTTCCAAGAATTTTCTGAGGATGGAAAGAAGCTGACACTGCTGGAGCTGGTGGATTTCCTGCGGGAGGAGCAACTGGAGGATGAAGGCACAGAGGAGCTAGCCATGGAGCTCATTGACAAGTATGAACCATCAGAGACAGGTGAGAGCTTACTCAGACATTGGCTGTGCTCTGCATGGGGTTAAGGAGGGGTCACAGGCTCACAGTGCCATGGCAGGGGCATTCCCAGCCCCATCCTGGTGTGAACAGCTGCACACCAAGGTGTGATCTGAGTGCTGTTCCCCTTTATTTGGTCCATTCCTGGACCATTTTGGTGTAGAAGGTTGACCACCCATGGTGTACAAGCCCCAGTTTTGGGGTCCACTGCCCACCTTTCCGAAGTTACTGCCCTGTGGCATCTTTCTGTGCCCCAGACTCTGGCAGCAGCTGTGCCCATCAGTTTGGGGATTCTGGGAGACACCAGCAGTCCTGTTTGCCCCTCATTTTGTCTCTTCCATGTCCCTGTCTGTGGCTGAACCTCCCCCTGTGCCTGCAGCCCGGGCTCGCCATGTGCTGAGTGCTGACGGGTTCCTCATGTACCTATGCTCTCTGGAGGGCTCCATCTTCAACCCTCAGCACCGGGCGTTGTGGCAGGACATGAGCCAGCCACTCTGCCACTACTTCATCTCCTCCTCCCACAACACCTACCTGATAGAGGATCAGATCCGGGGCCACAGCAGCATCGAGGGCTACATCAGGTAAAGGGACTGCTCCCTTCCAGCTGCACTCCAACACCCTCCCATGTCTTGAGCAGCTCCATAGGGTAAACCCCAGAAGCTCCTTTGCTCCTCTGCGGTCCTTTGCTCTCCTCTGACCATGCCCTGCATGATTGTCCTGCAGAATCAGACAGCATCCACACTCTTGGTGGGTGTCCCTTGCTCCCTCAGGGATGACACCCATGGGCAGAGGGGAGGGCAGGGAGCTGGTGCCCTGGCTGAGTGCAGGGTTCCAGGGGTGACAACCCACCCTCAGGGCTCTCAAACGGGGCTGCCGGTGCCTGGAGGTGGATTGCTGGGACGGGCCAAATGGGGAGCCCATGGTGTACCACGGCCACACCTTCACCTCCAAGATCCCCTTCCGGGAGGTGGTGAGCACCCTGGGGAAGTACGCCTTCAAGGTAAGGCACCCTTCCCCAGGTGCTGGTGGTCGTGGGTGGTCCTTGGTGGGTGAGGACACATGGTAGCGATGGTTCCCTGGAGGGGGAGTGGTACTGAGGCTCACACACCTGGGGATGCAGCAGAACTGGTCACACTGCAGGGAGGAGGGTGGCTGTGTCACTTTCTGGGGGTTAGAACTGTGGGGTCTAAGCTACAGCCTGCACTGTGCTGTTCCAGGGGTTGGGGGCTCATGCAGACATGGACTGTTGGGGGTGCAGGGGTGAGATGGGATGTGGGGGATTGGAGGGGTATGAAGATCTCAGAGGAGAAACGGACACAAGGGGTTCCGTGCTGGCACTGATCACGCCTGGATGAAGCCCTTATGAGAGGTTACTAGCCCCACCAAGGGTTATTTCCAGGTGTGCATGTTGCTCCTCAGACCTCGGACTACCCAGTGATCCTGTCTCTGGAGAACCACTGCAGCATGGAGCAGCAGGAGGTCCTGGCCCAGCAGCTCAAGGACATCCTGGGGGAACAGCTCCTCACCACTACCATCGATGGGCATGTCCCCATCCAGCTCCCATCCCCAGAGGTAGGGACAGAGCACAGATGTGCAGGGCATCTCTGTCCTGCCTGAGAGTGCGGTAAGGAGGTGGATCTGCTGTTCAGAGAATAGGCCAACCTGTTCCAGCATTGTCCTGGTCCACTGAAGCATTTGAGGATTCTGGGGATGGGTACTGTGTCCTCATGTTCACAGAAGTGCCAAGGCTATCCCCAGGGCTGTCTCCCCATGTCCTGCAGAATCAGACAGCTGGGCAAAACCCTCCTACCCCACCCCCTTCTGACTGCTGAAGGGTGCTGTCGTGCTGGCCTCCAGCAGTGCAGGGTCCCAGGGCACAAGGCCCATGGAGCTCTGGGTAGCTCAAGGTGCTTCTCTATCCCCAACCCCACAGGAGCTGAAGCACAAGATCTTGCTGAAGGGCAAGAAGATTGGGCGGCTGGAGGACACCCTGGATGGGCCAGGGGATGAGGCACCTGATGTGTCTGATGATGACAATGGGGCAGAGGCAGAGGAGGAGAGGCGGAGGGCAAAGGTAAGTGGCCCAGGCTGGGGACCAGCTGGGAGAGCTGAGCCCCTGGACAAAGTGATGAGCTATGATGACATCTTGCTGCATAGGGGCGAGATAGAGACTGCAGACATCACCAGGCAGGGATGACAGCCTTTTCTGCCCTGGTCATGCCAGCCCTCTCTTTGTTATGGTGGCAACATATTGGAGGTTCCCTGCTTGCTCTGTTCCTGGCAGAAAGACATTCACAGTAGGGATGCTGCCACCCATCAGCACACCCCTGGCTGCTCTTACCTGCCCTGGCTCTACAGCCCCTGGCCTGGGTGAGTGCTGGTGGATGATGCTCCCATCAGGAGGAACCCAACATGGCTCTGCCTTGCAGAAGGACAAGGAGACCCTGGCACAAGCATTGTCCGACTGTGTCATCTACTGCAAGAATGTGCCTTTCCGGGGCTTCCAGGAGGCCCGCAGCCATTCCCGGCCCTCTGAGATCTCCTCCCTCTCTGAAGCCAAGGCCAGGAAGCTCATTCGGGATGAAGGTGCGATGAAGAGGGCAGTGACACTGGGTGACTGGGACAGAGTAGATGGCTTCCTCATGGGTACCGCCAAAGCTTCCCCGTCTGGGAGAAACAGGGTCCAGTGGAATTGTACTGTGGGGTTTAGCTCTGGTAGGTGATGAGGTTATTGGCTTAGAAAACAAGTCCTGGATTCCTGAGCACGGAGAGGGATGAGAATTGGTGGGTGGGTGCATAGATAGATAGATAGATAGATAGATGGATAGGCAGTACATGTGGGTGACTGTGCAGGCCAGAGAATGATCCCACAAGTGGGCCTCATGCTCTATCCCTAGGAAATGAGTTTGTTCGCCACAATGCCTGGCAGCTGACACGCATCTACCCCAGCGGGATGAGGACTGACTCCTCCAACTACAGCCCCCAGGAGATGTGGAACGTGGGGTGCCAGATTGGTAAGGCTGGGGTGCAGCAGGACTGTGGGCTGGGGAGATGCCCCCAGTCCTGTGCTAAATGCCACCATCAACACCTGTGTTAGTGCCAGCTACAACCCCATCTGGAGCCAGGTCAGGTTGCTGGCTCTTGCACTGCCCTGGGCGGGGTGCAGGCATTAGTACCTTATTCCTCTATGCAACTCCACATCTCTCTGGCTATGGGGACAGGCTGATTTTCAGCTCAAAGCAGAGTGGATCTCCAAGCCGTTTTGAACTCTTTTCTCTGCCACCTCCCTCCAGTGGCCTTGAACTTCCAGACAGCCGGCATGGAGATGGACCTGTGTGATGGGCTCTTCAGCCAGAATGGCCACTGTGGCTACGTGCTCAAACCACCCTTCATGAGGGACAAGGAGACTCTCTTCAACCCCAGTGACCCCAGCAGCCGGGAAGGCCCCAGCCCCGTCACCCTGACAATCCAGGTACAGGGTTGTGGAGAGACCCTGGGGAAGCTGTGACTGTGTCCTGTGGCCCTGCTGGTTCCAGACAGATGGGAACTCTGTTGGGCAGTGTGCTGGGGCCAAGTGGCCTCACAAAAGGTATATTTGGCCCTGCAGGTAATCAGCGGGCAGCAGCTGCCCAAAGTGGCCAACAGCAAGGAGGGAGCCATCATTGACCCACTGGTGCGTGTGGAGATCTATGGGGTCCCTGCAGACCAGGCACACCAGGAGACCAAGTATATTGAGAACAACGGTGAGACCCACAGCGGTACCACAGACCCTGCTGTGCCCAGACACAATCCCTGCTGTCCTTCACTCTCTCAACACCTGTCCTCTCTTCCCAGGGTTTAACCCCCGCTGGGATGAGACACTACAATTTCAGCTCCACGTGCCTGAGCTGGCCCTCATCCGCTTTGTGGTAGAGGATTATGACAAGACTTCCAGGAATGATTTTGTGGGTCAGTTTACCCTAGCATTTGCCAACATCAAACCCGGTGAGTGGCTGCTGCCCAGTGGTTTTGGGTGCCCAGAACAGCCCTGCAAGCATGTCTAGGGCTCAGCTGGGTACTAGAGAGGGGGATGGGACTCCAGTTAGCCAGAACCTTGCTGTCCTTCCTGCAGGATATCGCCACATCCATCTCCTCTCAAAGGATGGCACCAGCATCCCACCTTCTTCGCTCTTTGTCCACATCCGCATCACTGAGCCACCTGGCCCTGAGCAGGACTGAGTTCATGGGGTGAGCAGCACCCGGATGGAAGCCATAGAGCCAGCTCTGAGCAGCTGGGGCCACGGAGCCAACCACCTTGCCCTTTTGCTGAGCTGTTTCTGTCATCCCCGTGTCATTGTTGATGCTGTGACTCCCTCTGCAGTAGCCTCTGAGGGCTGGGAAAAATCACTGACCTCCCCTTTCCAGGTCCAGGATGCTGCTGCCCATGCATGAGTGTGGGGTCTATGCCAGTGCAGCTCCCTCCACCTACCACAGGCACCTTGTCCTGGCCCATGGTCAGAGCTTGACTGTGGGGAGGAGGAGAGATGGATGGTGCGTGGCACAGCTCTGCTACAGGGGCTGGTCCCCTTCCCCAGTCAGGGGAGCAAGGCTGGAGCCGAGCAAACCCCAGAGCTGGGCACAGCTGGGAGTGGAGTTGGTCCTCACTGCCCCCTAACCCTGCAGAGACCCATCACATCCCTTGGCCCCTACAGCCCCAAATTAATCCCTACCCCATCCTTTCTCTGTAAGCAACTTAATAAATTGTTCAGTGACAGGTTCGGGTCTGGGTACAGCGGTGCTGGGCAGAGATGGGGAACTGAGCTTGGGTTTGTGCTCTTTCTCTGTGGGCACCTGGCCCACTGTTCACACAGGGCTTTCAAGCAGCACAAAGAAATGGTATTAAAAGGAACTGAGCAATTCCTTTTATACAGTTGTGTATTTTACAACCCATATACATACATGCCTGTACACACACATACATCTCCACAGCAGGCCTGTGCCATCAGAGCCTTAAAGCCCTTAAAATCAAAGGGATTCAACCTCACTGTGGTGTGCAATCCTTCTCTGCAGGGCACCCTGCTTCTTGCTCCATCCTGGGGAGCCCCTTGTCCTGGCTTTCCCTCTGCACGGTGTGAAGGTGGACGGTGTGTATGCTGGGGTCCTTTCCCACCCCCTGGCTAGGGTCAACAGCCCTGTGCTCAGGGTGATGCCGCTGGATGTGTTTGATGACCTGGAACTTCTGCTTGGCCTTGTAGGGGCAGTAGCGGCAGAAGAAGGGGTGCTCGTTGGTGTGGGTCAGGTAGTGGTGGCGCAGGCCAGCTGCCCAGCGGAAAGCCCGCCCGCAGGCGTTGCACACATAGGGCTTCTCCTCGCTGTGCTTCTTCAGGTGAGTCTTGAGGAGAAAGCGGGTCTTGAAGGCCTTGCCACACTGCTCACAGATGAAGGAACGGGCCTCCTGGTGCCGCGTCTCCTTGTGCACCCGCAGGGCGTCCGCGCGGTTGGTGCAGTACTCGCACTCATCGCAGCGGTATGGCTTCAGGCCTGCGGCAACAGGGAAGGGGATGGCACCGGGATGGGGCACAGTGCTGTCCAGTCCATGCTGGACTCTCACCATCCCTGTAACAGACCATTGGTCCCCAGGGACTTCCTCCTACATCCTATTTTGTTAGCAGGCACACCAAGATCCCCATTTTCAAGGCTGGACTCTCACCATCCCTGTAACAGACCATTGGTCCCCAGGGACTTCCTCCTACATCCTATTTTGTTAGCAGGCACACCAAGATCCCCATTTTCAAGGCACTAAATAGTGCCTGGGGTCTGAGCCACCCAAACTTCCCTCCCACTGGAGAGCACCACCCCCACTCCATTAGCACAGGATAATGTGTTGCCCCCCAAATGTCCTCCTCTGTCTCCAGCTGGGCCACTGTCAGAAAAAAGAAGCGTGGAGCAGCCCCAACACCCTCCCCAGTGGTCTACAACTTGTCCTCAGTGGGCAGCACTCACCTGTGTGCTTTGTCATGTGGTACTTGAGCTGGTTCACCCACTTGCATTTGTAGCCGCAGTCGGGACAGAGGTATTTCCTCTCCTCCTTGTGGATCCGCATGTGATACTGGGCAGGAGGATAGGGTCAGGATGAGACCACGTCCCCTGCCCTAGGACAAACCCCTGCAGGGCTTTGGGGTGGCAGTGAGAGGCTCAAAGACAGCTCTGACATCTCCAGCTGCATGGGGACAGGGCTGTGTGCTTGCTTGGCAGGCTATGGGCAAGGGGGATCTACACCAGGCTCAGGATCAGATGCCTGTACTGCTGAGCTGCTCTGTCCCAGCCTGTGGATGGCATGGGCTTTGCTCCCCAGTTTGGTATGTAAGGCAAAGTCAAGTTAAAAACCCACCCCAACAGAGCTGAGCACATTGCACATCCTGTCCCAGGTGGCCCCAGGGGGCTCCAGCTCAGCCTGGCCATTAAAAAAGTCAATACTTCTTTTAGCAAAACCAGACTATTTTTCCCTCCATTACCCTATGCCTCCATCACCCACACATTTCCTGTTCTAGGAAAAGCCCTTTACCTTGCATCAGGAAGCTAATCACCTACAGCAATGAGGGCAAGGTCATGCTCTGCTTGCAAGAAAGCTGGAGGTTTCCCTGCATCCTGTCTAACTGGCACCACAGAGTATGCTGAAGCCAGCAAGCAGCTGAACTTGGCTTTGAATGGTGCAAGCTTCACCCAGAGAAAGCCAGAGATGTCAGCAGGAAAAGAAGTGAACTTAGACTGCTGCCACCTTCTTGCTTTGTTAAAAGCTTTTCTTGCCCTTAAAGTGCAACAGAAAATAAGTGTATTGTACTAACGTGACTGTTCTCTGCTTGCCTGCTATTTCGGCTCAGTATGAGCCAATGAACACTGAGAATGAAACCTCCCCTTGGGAACCTCCCCAAATCCCTGTGGCTGGATGCCTCTCAAGCAACATAGATGCAGTAGGATACATTCCCAAGCAGAGCTCTTACCTTGAGACGTGAGGGGTCAGCACAGGCATATTTACAGAGGTGGCACTTGTAGGGCTTCTCACCAGTGTGGATGCGGATGTGCCACGTGATCTTTTGCCTGTTCTTGGTGGTGTACTCACAGTCCGAGCACTTGTACACGCGGGTGCCCCCGTGGCCCTTCATGTGCTGGTCAAACACAAGCTGGTGCCGGCAGGCAAAGTCACAGAAAGGGCAGTGAAGGGGTTTGTCCTGGGGGGCAGCCGGCTCGTGGCTCTCCATGTAATGCCGCACCAGCTGCTGCCGCTCCTTGGCTGCAAAGCTGCACAGCTCACAGCGGTGGCTGAAATGCTGCGTCTTGTGCTCCTCCAGTGCCTCCCGGGTGGCAAAGGTCTCCTTGCAGGTGCTGCACTCCAGGTGTGGGTGCTGCTTCTGCATGTGGCACTTGAGCGTGGCCTCACTGTGACACACGAAGTCGCAGCGTGGGCAGCTGTAGGAAACCTTCTCCTCGTGCCGTCGCAGGACGTGCTGCTTGAGGGCCGTCTCAGAACTGAAGCGAGCCTCACAGCGGGAGCAGCCAAAGTTGAGCTCGCCGTGGTGGCAGCTGTTGACATGACGGGTGATGTCATTCTGCAGGTAGCTGCTGTAGTCGCAGAGCGGGCAGAAGTGGGTGGGTGTCTTCTCATGCACCCGCAGGCGGTGGATGCGCAGCTTGGAGTTGGTGCCGAAGGTCTGGCTGCAGATGCCGCAGGCGATGCGCCCCACGCCCGTGTGCAGGGACTGGTGGGCCTCCAGGCGGTAGCGTCGAGTGGTGCTGAACTCGCAGTAGCGGCACTTGTGTGGCTTCACCCCCTCGTGCTTGATGCGGATGTGTTGCCGCAAGCACCGGGCCTGCTTGCAGGTGAACTCGCACTGGCGGCACTGCAGCTGCGGCCGCTTGCTGTAATGCTTGCGGTGCAGCCTGCGGTGCAGCCGCAGCGCTTTGGCCACCTTGGAGGTGAAGGGGCAAGAAGTGCAGCGAAACTCACCCAGGGTCACGCAGCCCCTCTTCTTGTGAGTCTTCATGGCCCGTTCCTGGTGGCAGGTGAAGGGGCAGGTGGGGCAGGTGAAACGCCTCCTCTTGGGCAGGGTGGCTTTTGGTGGGGCTGCATCCAGTGGGAGCTCACTGGTCTGGTCTTTCTCAACACTGAGTGGGTCCCCCTCAGGGAGTTCAGTCCTTTGGGGTTCGTCCTTCTTGGGATGCACTTGGGATGCACCCCTCCTTGGGATGTGCTTTTCAGCACAGTGGCTCTTGAGAGCCCGCCGGGAGTTGAAGGCCTCAGGGCACAGGGAGCACCAGAACTGCTCCAGGTTCCGGCAGCCATCCTCCACGTGGGAGGTGATGGTGGTGACACGGGAGCACACAAAGGAGCAGGCATTGCAGTGCAGCTTCCCTCCCTCCAGTCGGTATTTCTCTGAGGGTTTCCCATGCTGTGAGGCACCAGCAGCTCCACCTGGCTCAGTCCCACCCCCTTGCTGGGGAGGCTCTTCTGCCACCTCTGTGCTGTCACCCAGCAAGGATTTCTCAGAGGCATGACAGCCCGATGTCTGTGCCCCAGCCAAAGGAATGCCTGCTGCTTGTGTTTTATCAGGTAGCAGCTCAGCTTCCCAAGGGCTCTCAGCATGCCCAGACTCCTCTGAGCCTCCATTCTTGCTCTCTGCTGTTTCTGTACCATTATCACCAGACTGGTCAGCAGGTTGGCACAGTCCGGGTGCCTCCAGATTGGTTGGTCTGAGGATCTTGTTCTTCAGAAGAACTGGACACTTCTTTAGGAGGTGAGTGTTGAGTCCCCTCTGCTGCTTAAAGCTGGCACCACACTCATGGCACACGAGCGGGGCCCGGCGGCTCTGGCAGCTGGCTTTGGAGTGCAGGGACATGGATTTCTCCTTCCGCGTGATGTATGAGCACTTCTCACACTTGAAGACCTGGCTCTCCGACTGCACCACCAGCATCTGCACCCTGCCCTCCAGAACCAGTGTCTCTGCCTGCTCCTTGTCCTGCTTCCGCAGAGCCTTCAGCACTGACTCCGAGCCGCCCCTGGCATTGTCACCGGAGGTGATCACATCCTCTGGGGCAGGCAGGTGGCCCTGTTCGGGTGTCTTCAGCATGCTGAACCAGGCCTCTGAGAGCTTGGCTTGGCTGTTCTCTCTCACCTCAGTGTCTGCCACCACCTTGTGGTGGTCTGAGCATGATCCCTCAAGGTGGCCTGTGTCCTCCCTTAGGGTGTCTTTTTCCTGGTTGTCTCCTGCTGCTACACTGCCCTTCACCACTTTGTCTTCCTGTACATCTACCTCTTCCTCAAAGTCTGGGATGTCTTCGAGTGTATTGCCACTATCCTCCAAGCCAAGGCCATCCCGGGAGCCCAGCATCTCATAGGCTGCAGGAGGGTCCTTGCAGGACAGCATTTCCACACTCTCTGGCTGGGGCACACAGGCTTCTCCAGTCAAGTTCACCAGGAGAGAGTCAGATGAGACATTCAGTGCCTCCAAGTGCAAGGTGCAGCTCTCTGCCACATCTTCAGAAACAGTGAGCTCAGTAGAGCCTGTGGCAGCATTTCCTTGCACGCAGTCATCTTCCAGGGCATTGCCAGCAATAGGACAGCTCTGCTCCCCCTCAGCCATGCCTCTCTCTGCCTCGCTGCTGCTCTCTGGTGCAGCAGCATCCTGCTCAAGGAGGGGCACCATGAACACTTGCTGGTAGCCCTCTTCTCCCTGGGACTCCACCTGGGATGGCTTCTCCTTCATCCACTGC